CTAAACCACACTGACCAGGGCAATATACCTAATTCTTGGCCCACAGATACTGTGAAATAATAAATGTGTTTTCATCCTACTAGCTTTGGGTAGTTTGAACTACACAAGGGACTTACCCAGTGAGGACACCAGGGCAAAGTTCTCCAGCATCACATCACGGTACAGGCATCTCTGAGCCTCATCAAGGAGCCCCCACTCCTCCCGAGAGAAGTACACAAACACGTCCTCGAAGGTCACACAGCCCTGCTGTGAAAGGGACAGTTGAGTTCACAGGTGGCACAGCACCTCTCCCCACATCTCACTGCTCACACGAGCACTCCTGGGTCCCTCCCTGTCCTCCAACCCTCTCAATGCAGAGGTACCAGGCCTTGGACTGCTAGTACCTGCCATTTCCTTACATCCCTTGATCACTGAGTCTGGCACTAGGCAGACCCAGGCAGATGGGTCGACAGGTACTATGTAAACCATGAACCTGGCAGGAAGTGCCCCGAACGGTCCCCTGCCAGCCAGTTCTCCTGGTGTCATTCAGACCAGGCTTCCAGACACCTTCAAACTTGGGTTCAGCCTTCCACATAAGATGCAGTGCCAGGGCCTCAATGCTGACAGTTCACACTCCTCCCGGTTCTCCCTCCCAGTCTTCACTCTGCAGCCAGAGGGGATCCGCTGAATGAAATGTGTTAAATCACCCCCGTTCTCTGCTCCAAACTGTCAGAAGAAAAGCTTAGCTCTTTAGGCTGTTGATTCGGGCCCGACTTCCGCCGGCGGCTGCACGTTCCCATAAGTCACGACTGAGACCCTGATCACTTCCAACTCAGTCCCACTTCCAAGTCTTTGCACATGCCTGTTCCCGCGACTGGGACACCCTTCCCAGCGTCGTTTCGTGCATATAATTCGTGTCCTAGACTCAGGACCCTGGGTTAAAGTGACCCCCACCCAGACACTCCATAACCGAGAACCAGGATGAGTAGAGCCCAGGATACCATCATCAAACCAAGGAGGAACGATGACCATAAAGGTGTGATAGGCCGAGACCCCGAGGGACTCCCCACTCACCTGCGCAGGATTCATCAGCGCTGCCGGGAGGGCAACTCGGGAGGGACACCTGCTACCTGCTGCACTCCCGTTGCTATAAAATGGCGTAAAAAGCTCCCTAGATCCAAGCTGCAGCCTTTAGCGGCTGGGGCGCCGGAGACGGGGCCAGAGCTGGTGTCAGAACTGCACAGTCGCAGGACCAACCAGCCACGTCACTCGCCTTCCTTGCTCTGCCCCACAGACACCCACACGCGTGAAGCCACGTGGTCCCCCTTCTCAGCAGCAACTGCACGCGGACGGAAATTCTCCTGGAATTGGCAGGAAATCCCGCCCCATTCCGCAAAAAAACACCCCTCCCCTGAGCATTCATTGGCCCAGCACTTGGCAAAAGCGCCAGCAGCCGCTTCCGTAACACAAGCGATCTCGCTTCTGAGCGCATGCGCTGCTTCCCTTTTCCATGGCAACCCACCAACGGCCCTCTTAAAACGGACCGGAAATAAAGACTGTTATGCAAAGATGGAGGTGAGGTTTCGCTTTCTCTTAAAAATACCCAAATATGTGTTGGAAATGCAAGCTCTGTGGCCCCGCCCAGACCTAGTGAATCAGAAACGATGAGTACATCGCGGCATTCTGCTTTAAAGAATCCTGTGGTGCTCACTCCAGTTTGAGAACCTCAGGGGCTGCTCCGACTACAATGAGAAATACGAAGGCTCTCTGAGTGCTTATCATATGGTTAGTACTCCATAAATAAGAACTACACTTGTGGGCCGTTTTGCTTTCCGCAGTTTTTTACCCATGGCCATCCACCATCGGAAAATGTCAAATGCAAAAGTCCAGAAATAATTAACAAATTTCACGACGAAAGCGTGCCCTGTTCTGCTCCAGCTCACCTGGGACATAAGTTTTTTCCAGCATGACCTCTACATATGTGTGTGTGTGTGTGTAGGAAAAACATACACTGTATAGGGTTCAAAGCTATCCTTCATTTCAGGCATCCAAAGGGGGTCTTGGAAGTATTCCTTGTGATTGGGGGGGGGGGGGGGGGTAATTACTGACATTAGTGTTAACATCAGTGCTTTCATATACAGAGCTGTGGGAGGTGGAAACGGGGATGCTGCTTTAAAAAATGCTTAGCATTTTTTATTAAAAAAAAAAAAAAAAGACTTCCTGATTCAGCAAGTAGCCTTCTAGGTTTTGATGAAAAGTTTCACGTAAAGAGGACACATTTGTACTACCTGGCTTATTTGGTTACTTCTTAAATGACAGATCAGGAAAGTTTCTTAAATTACAGATAGGCATGTTGCCCAAGAGACATCATTATTGCAGGCCACACAATTTGGATCTTGGGAATATTAGGATTAACTGCCCTCGGGCCTGCATTACATGGTATTAAGCTTGTGACATGGGATATCATCTAGTTCACAGTAACCACGACCTTCCTTCCCGTCCTTCCCTTCTGACCATCACGGCAAGTAGACTGTGGTACACACATGTGATCATGGGATGGCCCAGCTGAGACTTCAGGTAATCATTAGGCCCTGTCCTCATCAAAGCACCATCGACATCTATCACCTGAACCTGCAGCCCCCAAGAAAGTACCAAATCCTGGGGAGGTGTAAAACCTAGAATCACTGAGAATATCCCTATGGTAGTGCACAAATGCAAGAACAATTAAGACACAATTCATAATCATTTCTACCAACATCTGATTGTCTACAATACATTTAAATGGTTCCAAATTAAGTGTGAGGAAAACTGGGACATGCTATCTTAACAGATGTCCAGAAAGAGAAAATGGGATTAGGAAACATCCAGTTTGTCACAATCCATCAATCTGCTCACCAAGTACATGTATTTTATTCTTTCTCCTATGCATTGGACACTGTCACCCAACAACTCAAAACCCCTATAATTACTGAGCTCATCTGTCTCACGGTGAACAATCCCTAGGGTGTATAGTCCTTTGTATCAGGTTCAAATACTGTTCCTGATCACCAGGAAATTATCAACACAAAATAAATTGTCTCCACCCATACCCAATATATAGAAGTTGAGGGGTACAGCAGAAGGACATACTGAAGATGCTGAAGAAATCATCTCCAACATAGATTTCTATTCTCAACAACAGTGTTTGTCAAGAAAGAGCATGTGTAGCCAAAAATGAAAAAAAATGTAACAGAAAACTAACTCACAGGAAATGAATGCTAAAGGTTATTCATTTAAGGTCAAAGGAAAGTGATCGAAGTGAAAGGTCTGCAACAATAGTAGTAATAAAGATCCAAGATAAGGATACAGCTGTGCATTAATACAACTGCTCATTGTCTGCATAAAGCATATTATATTTTTGAGTACAATAGAATTATGCAATCCTCAGTAATATTCCTTATTGTCCAAGAAGAAGGTAAAGCTATGAACTCTATGCTCATTTATGTTAAAGTGTTATAATTTTAGCTTAAACATTAATAAAACAGGAGTATATGAATTCCCAACTAAAAGCAAAGTTCAGAATGCAAATAATCTATACAAATTTTTAAAAGAAAAATACAAGAAACAGAATTAGTAGTAACTTTGGTAGGTTGAAAAAATATCTAGCAATATTCAGTTTATAAGCCACACTTCTAAGACATAATGTTACAGAAATAGATGAAATAAAACCAAATCTACAAAATCTCATCCAGAAAAAAAGAGAAACATTTCCCAGTCCATTCTGGAAGGACAGTATTACTCAGACACCAACATCAGTACAAAAAAATTCAACTATATACCAGAGTGCTCATGATTTCAGACATGAAATTCCTCAACAAAATTCTAGCAAACAGAATGCTGTAATACACCCCTGGCTGATCTAGCTCACCAGACTGAGAGTGGACCGGCAAACCAAAGGGATGCTGGTTTGATTCTCAGTCAGGGCAGAGGCCAGGGTTGTGGGCCAGGTCCCCAGTAGGGGGCATGCAAGAGGTAGCCACACATTGATGTTTCTCTCCCTCTTTCTCCTTCCCTTCTTCTCTCTCTAAAAATAAATACATAAAATCTTTAAACAAACAAAAAATAAATGCTGTAATATAGATATAATAAAAGAATTGTATTCCATCACTTGGTGGGGTTTATTGAAAGAATACAAGGCTGGTTCAAAATTCAAAAATCAGTCAAAGCAAGCCATCATATCAATAGGCCACATCTGAAAAATGACATAATCATATCAACTGAAGGAAAAAAATTTGACAAAATTCAACACTCCTCCACAATGAAAGCTCGTAGAAAACTAGGAGGGAAACTTTCCAAATGGAAGAACATCTACATGAAAACCCTCAGCCATCATCGTATTTAATGGTCAACACTGAATGCTTTCTCCCGAACATTAAGAACAAGGCAAGCGTGTCCTCTTCCACTACTTCTACAACACTGCACTAGAAGTTCTACGCAGTACAGTAAAGATAGTAAAAAGGATATGAAAAGTCTACAGATTAGGAAAAGAAGTAAGATGTTTACTATTTGCTGCTGGTAAGATAAAACCGTGAAACAATCTACCTGCCCACCCAGGTGCTATATTAAATAAATTCAAAAATATCACAGGATACAAGGTTAACATTTAAAAACTAATATTTTTCTATAACAGTACTGATGATGTGCAAATAAATTAAAAACTCAATACCACATACAATGACACAAAAAACGTGCCTAGAAAAAAATCTAACAATATGTTCAGGATTCACAGGCTGAAAGTTACAAAACACTGATGAAATAAATCCAAGAAGATCTGAATGAATGGAACCATGTTCATGGACTAAAAGACCAACATAATAAAGATTCCAAATCTCAACAAAATGACCTACAGATTACTTTCTAGCAAAATCCCAGCAAGTGGTTTTATAAATACAGACAAAAACATGATAAATTTTTAATGGAAAGACAAAGGTAAACACAGTATGGAAAACGAAATCAATTTAAGAATAAAGGTAGAGGAATCATGTTACCCAATTTTAAGATCTAATGATGGCTACAGTAATCAAGATAGTGTGATACCTATACTATCACAAATCAATGAGATAATATAGAGAACTCAGAAATTGACCATCACAAATATGCCCAATGATTTCTGACTAAGGGGTAAACACAATTCAATGGAGGCCAAATAGTCTTTTCAAGAAATGGAGCCAGAACAACAGAATACTTAGGCAAAAATACAAGAAAGAAACTCAACCTAAACCTCATAGGGTAATACAAAAATGAACTCAACATGGACCACAAATTTAAATGTAAAAGTTAAAAAATTATAAAGCTTTTAGAAAATACTTGGGACCTAGAGGCTGCTGAAGAGGATGAAGAGGAACCTTAACAACAGTACCATTAATTAATACATCAGAAACGGCTTTGCCTACAGTGACAATACAAATCTACACAGTCACTTAAAAGGCCCTGAGGAGGGTTCAGAGTGAAGACACGATCATCTTTCTGTGAAGCATATATACTTTTGTACAGTATATTTCTGTGAGGTAATAGTATCACGTGTAGCTTTAAAAAAAAAAAGGCAAAGGAGAAATTCCAAAATACCCTGAGGAAAGACAGTCATTAATTTGTTTTTTTTAAAAGATTTTATTTATTTATCTTTAGAGGGGAAGGGAAGGAGAGAGGGACAGCAGTATCAATGTATGGCTGCCTCTCGTGGGTCCCCTGCTGGGAACTGGCCTGCAACCCAGGCCTGCATTCCCATGTGCCCTGCCTCAGAATTGAACAGTGATCCTCTAGTTCGCAGGCCCGCGCTCAATCCACTGAGCTACACCAGCCAGGGCTAGTCATTAGTTTTTATACCAGGATGAACCCCATGGTGACAATGGTGAAACTCACACAAACCCGCATGTACATATGCCTACTTTGTGTTAAAATTCAAGTTAATTTAGCAGTGAATCTTCACATAATCTTTTTGAAGATTAAAAATGAGATGTACCCTGGCCGGTGTGACTCAGTTCATTGGACTGTTGTCCTAAACTGAAAGGTCACGGGTTTGATTTCTGGTCAGGGCACATGCCTAGGTTGTGAGTTCAGTCCTGGTCAGGGCACATACAAGTGGCGACCAATCCCTTGATGTTTCTCTCCCTCTTTCCCTCCCTTTACCTCTTTCTAGAATCAATGAGTATGTCCTTGGGTAAGGATAAAAAAATAAGATGTACTCTGTGTGTTTTTTTTACTTTATCTTATTCTTCTAATTCAGCCGCCTTTTATTTTCTTTTGGCTCTAATTCAACCCCTAGAAAATCGCTGAAGTGAAAGTCTCTCTAAGGAAGACTGAAGCTTAGAAATCAGTCAGAGGGTATAACCAGGATTCATGTGGGGAGGTTACACAGTGACACTGTAATCCTCACCCCACAGAAAAAAAGAAAAAATGAACAAGTAGTTCAAGATGAAGACTGAGTTTTGAATGGTTAAAGGCATGAAAAAACGTATTTTTAAAAGTCTGATTTCATGAGTGCATTTTTTAATGTTTGTCACTTTCAAAAAGAAATTTAATGGTCTGAGTGGCGTCTTCTGTAGCATATGTACATCTTTATCTGAATATAAAAACATTCCATAATTTAAGCCTTCATATTTCTCAGAGACTCATGCTGTTCACAGGTAGAGACAATGTTGTAGAACAAAGGCTTTCAACTGGTGTTTTCAAACATCCTCTAAAGCCTAACTCTCCTGATTTTCGACAAAAGTGAATGTATACACAGAAGAAATAAGGGAATGAGGCCCTCTGATCTGTTAAAGAAGCTGCGGTTGCATTTGTCTTCTTCCCTCTATGTCTCCTCTTTCTTTGTTTAAATACCCCTGAGATAATTTCGCAGTGTAAACTAAGGAGAAAGATGTGGCTGAAGGTTTTGCTGGATCAAAGTTCTCAGATGCAGATTCTCAGACGCAGAATGAGATTCTAGGCTGAGTCCATTTCTAACATGACTCATTAGAAGAAAAGTGATATCCTGAAACAGGTTTTCGCACAAGGAAGAAAACTGGGGTGGTGGTGGTGTCGGGGGGGGGGGGATTCCCTTTAGTATAAATAATCACATTTTGGCAAAAGATTTTCCAGTTTAAACAACTGTTGTTTAAACTGGAAAATCTTTACATTCAAAAAAATCTTTCCCCAACAAGACTTCTTGGAGATTGACTGAGGATTATCCACTTGTGAAGAATCTTCCTATCTCTATTCTACTTGACAGGGTTTCTCCCAGTATGAACCCTTTGATGCTGACTGAGAGATGAACTACGACTGAAGGCCTTTCCACACTCGCTGCATTCATAGGGCTTCTCTCCAGTGTGGATGATGGCGTGTCGAATGAGGCTTGTACTCCAGCAGAAGGTTTTCCCACACTCCATGCACTCATAGGGTTTCTCTCCACTGTGAATCCGCTGGTGCCGTGTGAGGCCTGACCTGCGGTTAAAGGCCTTCCCACACTCACTGCACTCATAGGGCTTCTCTCCAGCATGGATGCTAATGTGTCGAATGAGATCTTTTCTAGTGCTGAAGGTTTTCTCACATTCTTTGCACTCAAAAGGTTTCTCTCCAATATGGGCCCTCTTATGCAAGATAAAAGTATAGCAGTAGGTGAAGGCCTTACCACATTCATTGCACACGAAAGGCTTCTCCCCAGTGTGGATGATGGAGTGTCGAATGAGATTTGCCCTTTGGCAAAAGGTTTTCCCACACTCCATGCACTCATAAGGTTTCTCTCCACTGTGAATCCGCTGGTGCCGTGTGAGGTATGACCTGCGGTTAAAGGCCTTCCCACACTCACTGCACTCATAGGGTTTCTCTTCAGTGTGGATGCTGAAGTGTCGAATGAGGTCTGAACGATTGCTGAAGGCTTTCCCACACTCTTTGCACTCATAGGGCTTCTCTCCAGTGTGGGCCCTCTTATGCAAAATAAAAGTGGAACAGTGGGTGAAGGCCTTTCCACACTCACCACACACATAAGGTTTCTCCCCGGTGTGACTCCGCTGGTGCTGCTTGAGGTGTGACCTGCGGTAGAAGGCCTTGCCACACTCAAGGCACTTGTACGGCTTCTCTCCAGTGTGGATGACGTAGTGCTGAATGAGGTCTGTGCTGTCACAAAAGGCTTTTCCACACTCCTTGCATTTAAAGGGTCTCAGTCCACTGTGAGTCTGCTGGTGCCACGTAAGGTGCGACCTTCGGTTGAAGGCCTTCCCACACTCCACACACACGAAGGGCTTTTCTCCTGTGTGGATGATGTAGTGCCGAAGAAAACCAGTTTTATCTCGGAAGGCTTTCCCACATTCTTTGCACACAAAGGGTTTTTCTCCTGTGTGGCCCCTGTTATGCAGAACCAAATTGGAGCGGTGGGTGAAGGCCTTCCCACACTCACTGCACACATAGGGCCTCTCTCCAGTGTGGATCCGCTGGTGCCTGGTGAGGTGTGACCGGCGGTTGAAGGCCTTCCCGCACTCCAGGCACTCAAAGGGCTTCTCCCCTGTGTGGATCAAGTGGTGCTGCAGGAGGTGGGTGCTTTTGCTAAAGGTTTTCCCACACTCTGTGCATTCGTAGGGCTTCCCTCCAGTGTGAACTTGCACATGTCGGACCAGGTAGCATTTCTTGTTGAATACTTTCCCGCATTCCTCACATGTATAGGGCTGTTTTCCTTCATGAATTAAGGGACCTTTCACTGTTCTGTGTGACTCTTGTTCAGATAAAGCATCTCCTAGAGAAACAGGCTCCTGCATGGTCAGGGGGTGCAGACCACCACCTCTCCCTAAACTGCCACATTCAAGGCTCCGTTTCCCAGAAAGCTTCTCCCACAGGAGAGCTGTCCCTGGTCTTGGATAGCCTTCCTGAACTTCTGATGGTCCATCTTGGTCTTTGCCTTGCCCCACCTGAGTGTCCCCTGAGTCTTGCTGAGTCAGTCGCTCCTGGGGTGAAATGTCTTCAGACAAGGCCTGGTGGGAAGAGGGGGGCTCTGTGGTCTTGGGTGTTATGCTGTTACCTGAAGAGAATTTGGAATTCAATACACAAAAGGGTTTATTAATGATGGAAATGCAGAAGAAACAAAATCACTATTTTAGTGAGAGCAAGGAGATGAAAATGGTTGAAGCTGCTGTGTTTTCAGATCTCAAACTCAGGTTTGCATTTCCTTTTTTTAGTTCTTAGACTCTTGAAACCCTGAGAGGGGAGACACATAGGGAAAGGACAGATGGGGGACAGTGTCTGGAGACCAGGTGCACATACAGACTAATGAAGATACTGTGTGTGGTGAGCCTGCTGAGAGCAAGAACATCTCAAGGTGCTACAAGGGGCCAGTAATGGGGCACCTGTACAGCTGAGATGGGAGTCAGGAAGGCTTCCTAGATGGCATGTATGCCTTATGAGCTGAGTGCTACAAGAGTGGTAGAAGTGGCCAGAGAAAGCAGGAAGCCCACTTTAGCCTTAGGACACAGAATGAAAAAAAAAAAAGAAGCAAAAACAAAGACCAGTCTTCCCAGAATCAGGGAACAACAGTGTCTAAGAGGACAGAACTGGAGACAGTGCAGCCCCCAACAGGGTTCGTGTCCTTACAAGAGGAGACACAGGACAGCTTGCTTCTTTTCTCTGCCACGTGAGGACAGAACAAGAATATGACCACCTGCACACCAGGATGTGGGCTCTCACCAGGTCTGCCAGCACCTTGATCTTGGATTTCCCAGCCTCTAGAACTGTCTGTGGCATTCTTGTTATAACAGCCCAGATAGACTAAGATAGTAGGGTGTGAGCAATGTTCTCACTCTTGAGTCTGGTGATGTGAGTGCATTATTTTAAAAAAGAAATGAATCAGCAAATAAACAACTTAACTAACAATCAGTCAAGGTCCTTCATGAATCAGGGATGACAATGTGTCATAAACCAAGGCTCATGATTACTCGAGCAATAAACCTGAGTTCCACTTAACAAAAGGTGGAGGGCACATGGGTACTGTGGTTAAGATAATGGTCTCTGACCACAAAAACTCTAGGTTCGAGTTCCAGAAAAACTCACTGTTAGCTTTGTGGCACCTGGTAAGCTACTCTAATTCCATAAGCCTTCATTTTCTCTTTTAAATAAATAATAGAGCTTGCCTATTTTTAGGGCTGAAAAAATTTTATACACTGCATATACTATGCTCGGTACAATGTCAGACACCAAACAAACAAAAAATCAATGCATGTTAACTTTAATTTTTTTATTATGGGTTAGCCACATAATGTACTTCTAGACCTAGCTGGGAAACATTTAAGAATGTGTGAACTAATGGAAAGTATTAACAGTAGAAAGAATAGACTGTGGATGTTTGATGAGCCAATGTTACAGTGGTCACCAGAGTGAGAGAATGAAGGTCCAGTGAGAACAGGGTCAGAGAATCTAAGGGGTCCAAAGGCTCAAGCACAGTGCCGCCTAGAAGTCTGTGCTATGTTGTGAGCTTGTGGGCATGGAGGTTAAAGGGCTGGCTCAGGAGCCAGAACACCTCAGCTCTAATACTGCCTGTACGGAGTCAGCTGACACTGGACAGAGTCCTCAGCTGTTCCGGTCCCAACCTCCTTTCCTGGAAGACAGGACACTCTCTGTCTCCGTCTCCCAGGTTGTCACGAGGATCAAGGGAGAGGTCACCTGTAAGCTCCTGGCACAATGCCAGATGCTGCAGGCACTCAGCAAGCCACAGGCCAGGCTGTATTTGAGAATTAGGAGCAGAGCAGCGACCATGTAAGGAGCAACTTCTAAGCTGTGGTTGGTGCAGAGGAACCTCCCTTGGGGCCTTAAAAAGCAAAGCTAACGACTTTACCAAGCGCTGGTGAAGATGGAGAGTGATGGATGTTCTCACCTGCGAGTCGTGGAAATATGAGGGAGCAGCCACTCTGCCCAACAGTCTCTGAGTTTCTATGAAAGCTGAATGCACTTCTACCTCATAATCTGTAACCCTCAGAGAAATCAGTTCTTACATGTACCAAAAAGTATGACAAGAATATTCTCTGGCCCTGGCTGATGTGGCTCAGTTGATTGGAGCATTGTCCTATAAACCAAAAGGTGACAGGTTCCATTCCTAGTCAGGCACATGCTGGGGTTGTGGGTTTGGTCCCAAGCTGGGGCACATGCAAGAGGCAACTGATAGATGTTTCTCTCTCATATTGATGTTTTTCTACCTCTAGACAGGGGTTATTCAGCAGAAGACGCTATGGAGGTCCTTAGCCCAATGAGGTGCTGGAGATACTGTATTGACCTAGATGATGGTTACAAGGGTTCATACATATGCAAAAGTTTATAATGCTGACCTCATCAGATTTTTGCATGATGCAGCACAGGAGTTAAACCTCCTTTAAAAAGTACAAAAGTCTACCTAGTGTGGCTCAGTGGATTGAGTGCTAGCCTGCAAATCAAAGGGTTACTGGTTCAATTCCCAGTCTAGGGCACATGCCTGGGTTGCAGGCCAGGTCCCCAGTAGGGGTTGCATGAGAGGCAACCACAGACTGATGTTTCTCTCCCTCCCTCCCTCTCTCTAAAATAAAATAAATACATAAAACCTTTAAAGAAGTGCAAGAAATTGCTTTGGCTGGTGTGGCTCAGTGGATTGATTGCCGGCCTGTGAACCAAAGGGTTGCTGGTTCAATTCCCAGCCAGGGCATATTCCTAGGTTGTGGGCCAGGTCCCTAGCAGGGAGCATGTGAGAGGCAATAACACATTGACATTTCTCTTTTTCTTTCTTCTCCTTTCCTTCCCCTCTCTCTAAAAAGGAATCTTAAAAAAACAGTACAAGAAATCATAGTAAATGGGAGGCATGACATGCAAGTGTAGACATCTATTCTAAGAACAGACAACTTCTGCAAGAAGAGAGATTGTCTAGGAAAAGGAGAGTTGATGCTGGTGTCAAGCCATCGGAGAGGCATCAGCACCTTTTATTGACTTTCCCCAAATGTGAGGCCCTGAACATATTTTCATGCTATGTAGAGAGTGAATAAAGTTACAGAAGAGGGAGAAAAGAAATGAAGAGGGAGCTTCCAGGAGAAGGTGTGATCTAGAGTCTGGGGTAGGAACTGGCCATGATCAGAGTGAGACCTTCCCAGGTAGGTAAGAAGAAAAGTTACATAGAGGAGACATTTAAATTTAGAAGCAACACAGGAAGAAGACTCGGTTTTATTTTCCTCTTCTTTTTAAAAAAATTTTTATTTATTCATTTTTAGAGAGAGGAGAAGAGAGGAAGAAAGAGAGGGAAAGAAACATAAATGTGTGAGAGAAACATTGACCGGTTGCCTCTTGCATGCTCCCCAACCAGGGACCTGGACCGCAGCACAGGCCTGTGCCCTGACTGGGAATCAAACCAGCAACCTTTCAGTTCACAGGCCAGTGCTCAACCCACTGAGCCACACCAGCCAGGGTAAGACTCCATTTTTGATATGAAACTGCTGAGACAGCAATGACACAACAAGATCACACAACCTCCCTGGGGCCATAGGATACTGTGTGTTACGGTTTGCTTTATGCCAGGCAGCTGGAGCTGAGAAAACAAAGGTACCTCAGACACCCCAGGACTTCTCCCAGGAGTGGTAAAGAGTGTGACAGGGCTGGACAGTGGGAGACAGAAGGACCACAGGTTAAAGGTTCCATGGATCCCAAGACTCCACAGAGGCCACAACGAGAGAATCACCACAAATGGAGAGGCAATGGTCACCTCGCTCTCTGCAAGTGGCCATGATCTCTGACCCGGCCGGCTGTTAGCACCCACCTGGGCAGGAACTTGGGAAGAGTCCTCTCTTCAACATCTGTAACTCCAGGCTACACTCCAACAGGTAGATCAGTTCCGGTTTAGACAAAGGACAGCCTGTTCACAGGAAAGAAAGACGAAATGGTGATTTGGGTAAGAATAAAGAAAACCTCTCAGTCTAGTCTGGGACTTCAGGATGTGGAGGAGACCTTGGAAAGAAGCTGCTCCCGGCCATGCAAAATGCTGCAGACTCAAAACCAACTGCAAAAACACCATTGTTGGGGCCCACACACTGTAGACATCAGGGCTGGCTACATACACAGCACCCGTTCTCTTCTATTTCTTTCCTTTGTCTAAACTGTACCCCAACACCATTCAGACATATCTCCTCAAGAGCCTTTTTAGTTAATCCAAGTCAGGGGCCTCAACCTCCCTGTGCATCACCAACCTTGAGGGCACCTGGCTGCCACCACACAGACCAATTCAAACAAAATCTTGCCCTGGTTGGTGTAGCTCAGTGGATTGAATACTGGCCTGCGATCCAAATGGTTGCTCGTTTGATTCCCAGTCAGGGCACATGCCTGAGTTTTGGGTCAGGTCCCCAGTTGGGGGAGTGCAAGAGGCAACCAACTGATATCTCTTGCACCATTGTTTCTCTCCCTCTTCCTCCCTTCCTTCCCATCGCTCTAAAAATAAATAAATAAAATCTTAAAAGAAGGTTATCTCTGGGGCAAGGCTTGGGCACTAGTAGTCACTGCACACTTGCCAGGTGGAGGTGGCCCACTTGGGAGGTCTCCGTCATCTCACAAATGGCACCCCTGATCACAGGTAGTCTGAGATCAGCACATGATCTATACTAGCCACCCTGAGCAGAGAAAGCCTTATTCCAGAAAGGGCCAAGGGAGGCCCCTGCGGCCCCTGTTGTCCTCA